CTAGACCAGCCATGGACTGGCTGGTCTTATTGACAATTAGATTATGAGCTCAGGATTTCTATGAGGTGATAGTTGATGAGGCCAAAGGCCGAATCAACTATCACCTCATAGAAATCGATAGGGAATAGTCTAATCGTTTTACTAGAATTCTAACTGAAATGTGCTTTAAATAACCATTCCAATTATTTCTAGTCTTGGGATTAAACTTCACACTTTGGAAAATTCGCGAGGACTGAATTGTCAATTTGACATTTGCAGGTCTTGCAGTTGTGTATGCACGATTATCAGTTTCTTTCAAAAAAGTTCTATTTTTTTATCTCAAGAAACCACATATATTCTTCTTTTAGTCTTCTCAGGAATTTTATTATCCATTTGTTTCACAACATTATTTCAAATTTTGGAGAAATGAGGAAACGTTGCAATTTTGTTGACCACACCAAGCCACTGCACGCTAATGGCTGATAGTGTGCAATGGCTCAGCCAATCAGATTGCAGCATTTGCATTAGTGTTCAAGTAGAATTCTACTAATAAAAGAGATTCAGGGGTGTTAGTGCCGAATACAGTGTCAGTGAAATCAAGAGGTTCTTTCTTTTTTTTAAATGCATAATAAGAAATTTTGTCCAAGCTGTGGACCGTCAATGAGAACAAAGTACTAAGTACATAGTACTTTGCAGATATGCTGTTAAATGTTATTGTCATTCAAAATCACTCTGAAATCCACCTATACCTCCCTGCTCTGAAGACAAAAATTTGCTTGTGTTGATGATAATAAAAGAGCACCAGTATACAAAAGTGATTATTTTACATTTTTTCTAAAAAGCTGTGAAGTTACTGCTAAAATGAAATGTGAGAGCAATGATGAAAATGCACCATTTGTGAAAAGCACTTTGAGGTCTACGAGCCTCTCTGTTAGCTTCTCTTTCAGAGGCAGACTTGTTATTTAGACGCACAAGTAGTTTTCTAAAAAGGAAAACAAGGAGAGAATCATAAATTGACGTGAGCAGATTAACAAAGTTTCAATTTCTCGTAGAATGAGGCCCAAGAAAATGAAGGAAGAAGAGGGAGCCAGAACAATAGCTTGTCCTCATAAAGTAAGCTGCTGTCGTCATAGTTAATAGAGGGGTATGGGTATGAAACTCCACAAAGTTCATTGTTGTATGTTTTTGTTCACTTTTTTTGCCTCAACCGTGCACAAAACTCAATAGTTGTTTACTCCATACAGTGTATGAGTACAATACAAAAGATTGTGCATGGTCATGGACCTTCCAACATAAATCTTGGCATCTTTGTTTGCTCCTTTGATGTTTTCTGGGCTTCATAACCAGTCCCCTCTATTAACTATCCCGTCATCTTTTCTCTTTTTCATAAGTTACAAAGAGAGGCTATAGATTTTATATTTGTATTTGATTTTACGAAGGGGTATGTTTATTCTGATTTAGCAGCATTTTTTTATCAGTTTGTACTTTCGTACATTATGCTGCTGTTTGGTTGTGTAAAATGCTTCTGCAATTATCGTTTCAGGGAAGTCTCTGTTTATTTTGGTGTCCTTTCACTAACAACTTTGTTGAAAATTGTTTTAAACTTGTCTGTTATTAATCAGTTTTATGTCTACTTTCTGGTTTTGACCCAGATGTTCTCAGGATGAATTTCTAAATGCAAGAATTTAATAACAATTGACTGGTATCCTGTTTGAGTTCTTTTCACCATTTTTGAAACGTCAGTATATTGAATTACATTTTGTTTTTCTTTGCTTTTGCAGGGTTGTACCAAGATGTTTCGAGATAATTCAGCAATGCGAAAACACTTACATACACACGGACCACGAGTGCATGTCTGCGCTGAATGTGGCAAGGTAAGAATCTCTGAAATTATTAATTTTTTAAAATCCATTGGAGTCTTCCTCATCATAGATCCTCTTGGGTTTTGTGTGACCTCTGTGATGTTTTCATTCTTGGGAAACTATTCTTTTAAAGTTTCTCTTGATATGAAGACACATGCACCATAAATCCTCTATAAGCCCCTCTCTGTAATAAGCCCCCCTTGTCCCTTGTTCTGAGGAACAAAGTTATTAAGCTCCCCTCCCCTTCCCCCTTGTTCCACACAGTCAAGTTGATAAATGATAGACTGTATTTGAAATGTAATCACGACTGTAACACTTCATGTGGACTGATCCAGAATAACCTATTCAAGGTTCCCACAAGAATAAAAATGTTAAAAATAACTTGTATACGTATAATATTGCTCAAATCTCCATATTAGTCATTGCCCTGGTCCAAAACAGGAAGTAGGTAAGCATAATCGTAGTCTGTTTCTTAAGCTTCTGTTTCGCTAGAAATTAAATAAGCCCCCCTCAAAAGTGCTTAAAATGAATAAGCCCCTCCCTGGGTGGCTAAATAGAGGATTTACGGTAGTTTTGAGCATCCCAGAAAAAAAGGTCTTCCCTAAACTGCTGTTACTAGTGGTAAGATTCAGTGCTTTAAGTAAGTTTGTGGGTTCAGGATGGTTACAAAGTTTAGAAGTAGGTGGTTTAATTGTTAAAGCAGGTGATTTTGCCTTCTTTTCTAAAGGATCAGGGGAGTAGCCAGCTGAGATAAGTATATGATGACAGCAACTTTGTATGAGTTGTATTTTTGATTCCTTTTTTCCTCAATTTCCATTTTTCAGGCGTTTGTGGAGAGTTCAAAATTAAAGAGACATCAGCTTGTTCATACCGGTGAAAAACCATTCCAGGCAAGTGTTTTTATTGTCTAACTTTTTAACAATATCTTGTGTAAAGTCAGGCAAGATTTATAAATTAGCTAGATAATCCAAACTGCCAGTGTTTGAGGTACATTTTAGTAACATATAGTGATTTCTGAGCTGTTTGGACAGAATATTGGGGGTAACAGGCCATGAACAAACTTCCCATCCAGAGGAGTAGCGATAGTTTGGCCACTTTACCTGACAGAAACTGGAGTTATGTGTCTGTTTAGAGAAGCTTTGTTTACGATATTTGCCTCATTAGTTTTAGCGATACAGTTTCTGATAGAGCTGCAAGAACATTAGTTCTGCATATTGTCAGGGCGTAGCATGAATAATTGTCCTAAGGAATTTGTGCACAGTGTCTTGGATACCTTCTGTGCGACACAGGTTTCAAAACTCAAAAATTGACAAAAATGTATGAGCTCATTAGCGCTTTTGTCACCCAGAAGTTTTGCAGTTTTTGAAAGCCAATTTCTCCTTTAATATTACACCCAAAGAGCCAACAATTTTACCAATTACTAAGTTTCACAAGCTCTTTAATTGTTTGTAGTCCATTCATGTCTAGCTTGATGCCCTCTTTGTACAAAGTCGTATGTCAATGTGGAAAAAATGTAAACAATGATATCAGCAAAGGTTGGCCTAGGGATCACTCTCTGGTTCCTCTGATGAATTAGTGTAAATAAATAATTATGTGTTGTGGGTTACCAGGGATGAGCAAGCCTTCTTCATGGACAAGTAGCAATGCATGATCTCTAGGAATGAAACAGATAATATGTTTACCCATCATGATTATTGTTGTAAAACATCATATTGCTTTTTCTCAACAGTGTACATTTGAAGGCTGTGGCAAGAGATTTTCTTTGGATTTCAACCTTCGCACCCACGTTCGCATTCACACTGGTGACAGGCCATATGTTTGTCCTTTCGACTCCTGTAATAAAAGGTTTGCACAGTCGACAAACCTCAAGTCTCACATCTTGACGCATGCTAAAGGAGGGAAGTAAGATGCTATTCTCAACGACTTTGACAAAATTGTGTACAGATTTTCAAGGATGGAACTTTTTTGAGTTCACTAAGGGATCAAGTGGCCTTGGTTCGGTCAGACTTTGCTAGAATTTCTAGATGTGGCATTGTACATTTTAAACTTGTATTCTTTCGAACAGTTCTTCCATACTTGCCGTACACAGTCTGACACAAATGTAACAAATGTGACATCCACTTGACTTCCTTCTGGTTTCCATTGCTAGAGAAAGTTATCTTTAGAGATTGGATGTTTGGGCAAGAAGGACAGTTAGTATCAGTGTGGAACTGGTTCTTAGAGGTCAACATATCAACTCAACGGGATAGATTTTAACCTGATCAGTCCAAGCTAGCAGGGTTTTAATTTATCTTTACAAGTTCATGGGCCTTGTTGTGTCATTTTTGTATAGATATGCAGTATTTTTTTTTCCTGTGATGTCATTTTCTTTCCTTGTGCCACTAAATTGTCGGATATGTATTTTAAGATAATAGGTTACCCATTTAAACCATTAAACAAACTTTGCGTAATCGAACATTTGTAAAAAGGAATCCAGAAAGCACTTATTTTAATCAAAGGGAAAAGCCATGGCTACTCTTTGTTTTATTCAAGGGAAGTTCTGAGGCAGAAATCCAAGCTTAAAAGATCGTTTTAACGTTATCTGACTAATCTGGCTTAATGTGTCTAGACTCTAGGCTGTAATGTTGTAAGAAGTGTCCTATGTAAATTTGTCTACACAACATTCAAGTTTTGCAGTTATAATGACAACATGTACGTAGTTTGACCAATCAGGCAGACAGCCCTTAAAAAGTGGAGACACTCACTTAGGACCAGATCAGAGATTTGAGCCATGAAATTTCATACCAGTGATCTTTGTCCTTCATTGGTTGTTACTTAGCAGTGCATTTTTACACACAAGAAACCAATCAAACACTGGAACTCTTTAGTGCTTTGCCATTATCATTATGTATTTATTGATTTGAATTTCATGTTGCTGTTATGAAGGTTTTCTTAATCAGGCTATTACATTAATGAAACGATAATGTACAGGCTGTGCTCCATCCCACTGCACATAGTCTATGAAGGACTTCAACTATAACTTGCAATATTTTACTGAAACATTGCCCTCAGCAAGAATTCACTCATTTTCCACAGGCATTTTTCCTGATATGTCCTTCATCAGTTCACACTTGAACCTTGCATAACAGTCTTACTGCTCATCTGGTACAAAACAGTATGTAATTCAGCAGTGTAGCATGATAAAGTATGGCCTGAATCTTATTTAATACGTTTTTAGAAGCTAAATTATTTACTGGTAGAATGTACAGTGTCAAATTGCTTAGAGTTGCCAAACTAAATTATGTCAAAATGAATCTAGGGAGACTACTTGGACCTCTTGTTTAAACAGTTGGGTCTTTGATATTGAATAGGCATCATTGTTTCCCTTGCAGCCTTACATTTAGGTAGGATTCAATAGCTGTTATTGCTGTTGAGTTTGTGGTCAATGTTTTAAAAGGCATGCAAATGAGTCGAAAGGATCAGTACAATGCAGAATTGACCCTTTTGCCTCATTTGTGTGTCAACCCGCTGATAAATGCAATAACAGCTATTATTTCCAAGATACATTTCTCATACAGCTGATGAAAGAGTTCGAAGTTAATTACCTAAGACAGTGATAGTGTCAGATTCTTGTTATTATACACTGTGTAACTTGCTATAATTGTTATTAGCCATGTAAATAAACAATTGACATCAGGAGTTGAGAGGTTAAAGTCATTTGGATATAAGTCCTTTTCAATATTAGATTTTAGTAGATTCTGTTCTATCATGTATTTGTAGTTACAAGTGTTTTGTTAAATGTAATAGAACGGTTTTGTTCATTGCGCGACGTCACTAGTTACATGTTCCTGTCATTTGAGGCAGTGTTTGCATTGGGTGCAGTCTCAGGTTAATGTTGTGGAATGAGCTGCAAAAAAAGTAAAAAAAAACAACAACAACAACAAAAACTAAAATGTTGAAATGATGTAATGTATCCCTTTTTCCGTCTTTATGTTATGGCAATATTTATCTGATTTCTTAGTTCCAGACGATAATCGATTTTGTAACTAAGCTTCACATGTTCAATCCTTCCCCTGTCTGAGAGACACATGAGTTTTGTACTGATAGTTTTGCTCATCAGCCGGAGGAGATCTTTCGTGTTTTGGATTTGTTACTTTAACAACGTATAAGGCAACACTACATGGATTTTAGTGGGAGGAATATTTCAGCTCAAATGTCAAATGTCTTTTAAGCAGGGAAAAGACTTGAGCGTGATAAAGAGAGGGGTACCATGTGACCAATTATTTATTTGATAGAGGCTCTAATTTTGCACCTACAGCTGTACTTCTGATTGTTCTAAAGAGGTATGGTTCTCAAAAAACGTACTTAGGTTATCTTCACTTAGTAAAACCCTGACCCCAAAAAATGAATGTGGTTTCAGGCTGAGATGCATCCGTGTATTGTAAATGTTGCTGCATGTTATCTCTAGTGTGTTAAAAAAAAATCTGTAAGCAACAAACTATTCTTAGGCTTGCAGATGCATTTTAACTTGCAGTATTCACCTTGGAAAAAGCAAATTAAACGAACATACATTTACATAAAGCTCGTCTAGTGAAATGCAGTTATTCTAAGTTCTCAAATATTATTATGTTACCAAGTACAAGGTTGTATGATCGGCTCGCTTACTCGCCTAACTGTAGCATGTGGTGTAAAAGGTGATAACAAGTGCCTTCCTTTTTTCCAGTTTTGAACGTCAGTAGAACATTTGCCTTGTATTCACCTTCTGAATACAACTATCATGTTGTGACTACAACCACTTATTTCGGCATGAAAAAAAAAACAAAACAAAACAAAAAAAAATACAATAGTATTAAAACATGACCCAAATTGCAGTTTTCATAACTGTAGAGGTGGGGTGGGGAAGTTAACCAGATTCCAAACCGGTCTGGGTATAGACATTTTCTGGAACATGGCAATGAAACTTTTAATCTGCCGTCATTGTCGTTAATTTCAGTGGAATCCTGATTTTCTAACCTCCTGATCATTTGAAGCAACTTTCTGCTGCCTTGCAAAAAAAAGTTAGAAGAAGTTTACCCTTGATTTCCATCACCCTCGGAGATTTATTTATGTATTTGTTTTTGTTTTTGTTTTTTAATTTTATTTAATTTTTTTTGGCGAAAAGGGATTCACTTAACCCCTAAACCTCTAGCTCATCTATATGATATTTTAGGGAGCGTGAGAAAAATCACTGGATGAGGATCAAAGTGGTAGGGAATGAGAGAAGGTAAAATCTGAAGTAGTGTGGGATCTCGTACAGTGCACCACATCAGGCCCGTATAGATTTTCGGGGAGTGCACCCCCCTCAATGGATACCACCCAACATCTTGTAAGTTGCCATACTCTGCTATGTCCCTGGCTGCAACTGTACCTCATTCAGTGTTTATGACGATTGTGGCTTAGATGGCTACTCTTGAGAGAACTTGTGAGATTTTCTTGGCAACGTTCAGAAACTTGGGAATACACTTCAACGCAAAGTAGATGGCCAGGACGGAGAGGTCAACTTCGCTTGCGCAACCATGCCATAGGCCCTTTGCAGCTAAGCCATCACGTGACCTATTTTTCATAAAATTATGGGCTATAACTTAATGAATGCCAGAAATGGAAAAAGCATGTCAAAAATATCAAAATGCCCAAGTTTGAGGCCCCCATCATTAAAGAAGGAGATTTTATGACGGTCCGAATTTTTAAAAAAATAAGATTTGTGTGGAAAAAGTTGCTGGAGAGCTAGATCTTGCTCTCCAGCAACATTTTGCATACAGATCCTCTAAATTTTCCGAAAATTCAAACTGTCGTATAAACTTACTCCTTAATTCCAGGGGCCTCAAACTTGGCCATTTAGGTATTTTCGATGCGCTCTTTCCATCTGTCCCTCCTGGTAGATGGCGCAGCTTCTAGGGTGATTTGCATCACCGCTGACCATTTCACACAGTTTGCTCAAATATTTCATCATGGCGGTCGCAATGTCATCTACAGTTTCAGCTTGTTGCAGATGGTTCAGTTCCAGAATGTGCGGCAATACGTCTCTGATTACACCACTTGTACAATTTTCTTCTCTTTCCTGTACAAGAAGAACACTTCCAACGATCGCAAGACTTCCATTACGATGTCCACGTGCATTTTATTACGTGAAACCAAAAGAGAAGAAGGGTCCAAGTTTAAGGAGTTGGATATTATTTGGAGCTGGCTGTGTAGGATTCGTCACTGGAGCTGTGGTTTACCATGGTAAGAGATTCTGTAATCGATTATTCTTGTATTATTATATGATTTAGTTAGCGGGAAGTTTATTTCTCATTGTCCCTCGTTAAATACAATTCAATCCTAAGTTCTGGTTCACACATGGCCACGATTGTGTGCTTTATGCGCCTATCAATGTTAAAGACCCCCCTACTCAATTAACTCTGTAATATCGAAAAGTTACCAATACGTGAAATATTAGAAGTTATGAAAAGACTTGGACTTGCAAAGGGTCATTAACTAAATGCAGCCAATCAGAGTACTCTATGACATGATCGGGAAAAGTTTCTACAACTTTTTTCAATTATTATACATTGTAATCACCATCTGTCTTCTCATTGGCTAAAAGCCTACAGTTAATTCTGGGAAACAGAGCAACCTACAGATTATTCACTAATCTGCTAGCAGATTAGTGAATATTCTGTAGGTTGCATGTGCAATGCATGATTTTCAAGAGCAATGTCAAGTTCATGGACAGCGAAGTAAGAACATGGCTTGTCAAAAATAAGCTGCGTTCGGTGCAATAAGGCATTTGTCGTTATTTTCTTTCAAACAATGTATAATAAAACAATTATTAGGTTCGGTTTTTGTGACATCCAAAATAATCAGGGTCTCGGTTAGTGTTATCAGCCTCAGCCTTTGGCCTTGGCTGATAACACTTACGTCGACCTTGATTATTCCAGATATCACAAAAACCTCATCCAATATTATTGTTTATTATTGTAACCAGATAAAGTAAATATATTTTTTGAGTCAAATTAAAAACAGGCAAAAATTATAGAAGTTTTGCAATTAAATATTGAGCATTTGTTATTGGGGCTTAAAAAATGTCAAAATTTTCCTGCCAAAATTAATCTCCTCATACACGCCAAATAAGTGGAACATGTAACAGATTACTATAACTAGTCAGAATAATATCTCCAGAATTTTGACCAAATTTGGTCACAGTAATCATCTCACTGTACCTTTATTTGGTATGCTTTGGTTGCATATTGTTTGATATGTTTGATATCTTTCCATGGGTATTTTGGCTCAACAACATCTCACCAAAATATGAACCATGGCTCAGCCAAACTCACTGAAGAGGCTACTGAAGCGTACCGAAAAGATATAACTAACCAAGCTTGGTGACTCAGGATTATACTTGAACCTGTATGTTTTGGTGACAGTCCTGGTGACTTTGGTTAAGTCATGGCCCTTTTTTTGGTGCGANCTTTTCTGCTGAGGCTTCATTTTCATATTTTTGTCCTACAGAGTGCCTCACCAGTTGTGGATGGATTGGATCCAAATGGAATGATCATGTACCGACTTTTTAGAGATGCTACACTTTATACTGATGGCACACATGTAAAGGTGGATATGAGACATTCAGAAAATAAATCATTTTGAGTGAGTGGTCCAGGGGTGGATTTGGAGGGAGGGTGCAGGGGTGTGCATCCCCCTCCCCCGCCCCCGAGATGAAGCCTTCATCCTCATATTTGCTTTAAATTTTTTTTTCCTCACCAGTCAGTTACGCCATTCCTTAGTGGTGCACCCCTCCTAGGAAAAATCCTGGATCTGCCCCTGTAGCCATCAGAATGTGTCTGAAATAACAGCAGTAAAATGAAAAATTCTGAGAGTTAGCACTTAGCTCTTCTTGAAGAGCAAAGTTTCTAGTTTCTAAAGAAACTGTTGGGTTTCGTTGGCTGGCAAGTAGCTATTTATCAACGTCCAACAGGCCATATTCATATTCTCGGTATTGGACTGGAACTAGCATGCAGTGGCCATGGAGGCTCATGCAGGGAATATCATTAAAAAGGGATAAATGCTATTAGTATCACCCTACTAGTGGACTAATGCAAATCCTGCATTTTGATTGGCTACGCTACTAGGGGACTATTAGTAATAGTCATCGAGTAGCGAAATTG